ACCATTTTCACTGATTACTCCTTTCCCTTCTAGCCCCTTCTGTCCCCTAAAAAATGGTACCACCCTGTCCCTTTTCTCCAGTAGTAGAGCCAGGTTCCTTCTGTGAAGAGAACAGCAACACATAGTTGCTGAAAGGAGCTATATGAATTTGAATGACAACTTTCAAATTACAGAGGAGGGTAAGCATTAAGAAGAGCTTGCAGGCATGTCAGTGGAAGAAAAATCTGTTCTAACTGATGCACCCTTTGTTGCCTTCATGCAGGCAATGCTTAATTAAGAGGTGTCTGGGACTCAAGCTGCCTGGGAATGATAGCTCAGCAAGCCTTTGTCTTATGGCTAGTTGAAGGCTGAATACTTAGTGGTGAAGGACAAGCATACTGTCCTTTAAAGGAGTAAAAGAAGGTCGCCACCAGGTGTTAGCAGTAGCACACATGCAAGAAGAGAATAGAAGTGAGCATAGGGATTCAAATGTTCTCTTTATATAAAAGCATAGCCATTGACACTGATTTTATTTTTGCTATGCTTCAAATTCAAACAAAATAGCATTTGTAAATGTGATGCTTATTTATCTATACCCCACCATTTTCTTTTTTTGAAGAACTCAAAGCAGCTTACAACATTCTCCTCCTGCTGCTCTCAATCTGATCCCAACAACAAACCTATGAGGTAGGTTGAGCTGAAAGTCCATGACTGACCCCAAGTCATCCAGTTGGCCCCATGGCTGAGTGGGGAGTAGAACCCATAAGGGATATGGCCTGAATCCCACACTCTTAACCACTACATCACAGTGTCTCTCAGGCTGGCCATGTTTGTTTATATTTCCCATTGAATTTCCTTAGCAACTTATCATACTTGTCAAAAGATACTGGTCTGGCTGTGTTAAATGATATATTTCTCTTGTGGTGAGGCTGCTTGGAGGTGGCCATCATCCTGAATTTAGGGTAGAACCCCATTGTTCAGCAATGTTGATTAAAATATTCAGATTCAACATCTCAAAATGCATAAAGTCCAACCTCTACATGAATTCAACTTAACTGGCCTAGAAATAAGTAAAATCTATGTGACCGAAAAGGTCAGTCTACTATTTTGTTCTGCTAGCATTCCTAGGCTTTATCCAGGAGTTAGGTAATTGGTCCCTCAGACCCACTATGATTGACTCTGTCAGCATTTCCCCTAGATCTCAGGTAGATTTCCTTCACAGCTGTACCTGGAGGTGCCAACAACAGAATGTAGGACTTTTCCCATGCAAAACTTCCACTCTGTCACTGAGCTATCCCCCCCCCCCAAAAAAAAAAGCTCTGAAGCTGAATAATTTTTTCAGGAATGAAATTAGCAAGAGCTTTTAGATATCATTCTTGTACATTTGCAGTAGCAGCAAACATGTTTTCATTTGACATCTCAGTAAAATTGCTAACAAATCCACACTTGTCTGGTGGGGTTTTGTAGGCACCAGAACATGAGCTTCTGCAAGCTGATCGACTACCTTGACAACCTTGGAGAAAATGATTCAATCCTGAACTCAAAAGCTTTAAAGACAACTCTAGTCTCTTGCCTTTTAGCAACATGCATGAGTGTTTTATTTATTTATTTATTTATTTATTTATTGGCTTCTAAAGTTTCTATCACATCAGTAATGCCAAGTGCTTGTCATTTATCATTTATTTATTTATTAAAACATTTTTATGCCGCCCCATTCGCCGAAGCCTCGGGGTGGCTTACAACAATAAATAAAACCACATTTCAAATATTTGAAAGCGATCATACACAGCAGGAATGTAGGCAGTAAGGGATTCCAAAACCTCAGTTCCTGCACAAACATCTAGTTTCTTGTTGTAGTCTAACACTCATCCTATTTAATATGTTGAGTATGTCACACAACACCATTGCATCAAAGCATTATCTAGCTTATCCATCTTTTTTTACCTGTACACTTGCATCCTTTTGTGTTGTTATGAATGACAGAATGGAAAAAAAACGTATGTGCAATGTATCACTAGATTTCTCTATAATTATGTGCAGAGGTGCATTTATTTATTTGATTTCTATCTTCCACCTTAGATTTAGTCACATACCACTCTGCTGTCCAGCATGGCAAGCTTTACTATCACTAGCTATTAGCAGACTGCCTCCACCATCTTTCAGCAGACATGCAGAAATTGTGCAGCAGCTACAGTCTGGCAACTTTCAGCTGCATTCATACTACCCGGGTTCAAAGAATATGTTGCACACAACATGTCGTCCATACCTTTATTCATTCACTTTAATATGAACATTTGCTTTTGTCACATTCCATCGAACGTCTCCAATTTATGGCAATCCTATGTATGATCACCCTCCAAAAGGGCCTTTGCTTGACAGTTCAGCTCTGCTCTTGTAAACTCAGGCTTATGGCTTTGTTTATGGAGTTGAACCATCTGATATTTGGTCCTCATTTTCTGCCTTCAATTTTCCTAGCATGATTGTTTTCTCCAGTGACTCCTGCCTTCTCCTGGTGTACCCAAAGTGTGACAATTTTGTCATTTTGGCATGATCACAAATGAAAGATGAAAAAGGACCCACTTGTTCATCTTTCTGTTGGTCCAGGGTATTTCCAAAGCTTTCCTCCAGCATCTTTTTCTAATGCATCAATTTTCTTCTTGTCAGTGTTCTTCACTGGCCAGCTTCCGTACAAATGCATAGTGATCAGGAATACAATAGGTTGGATGAGCTTGGCCATGGTGTCCATAGAAATATCCTTACACTTGATGATCTTTTCTAGTTGCTTCATTGCTGCCATTCCTGGTCACAGTCTTCTTCCAATTTCTTGGCTGCAGTCTCTTTTTAAAATGAGGATTGAGCCAACGTTTGTAAAATCTTTAACAATTTCAGTTTCTTCATTTTAGAATCAATCTAGTATTTACTAAAATGGCCTCAGATGAAACATTAGTGGCACTGTCCAGAAACATTTTGAGTATCTAAGCTGATCTTGTTGATCCTGCAAAATGGCTGATCAGTAGTTGACAGCCCAGTGTAACCATGTAGTTCCTCAATGTGTGCAGTTCAACGGTGGTTCAAATTACTTCAGAGTAATCTCTGTGCAGCACAATAAGTCCCTCTGACCTCAACAGTACATGCACAATTATCTGTGAGTAAATCCTGTTGAGTTCACTCAGATTTCCTCTTAAGTAAACTTGGCTTTACTTCACAACTGTGGGTATTGCTGGGCCCATATAAATATGCATTGAGATTTACAATGCATGCTTTCTTGGAATAAACCCCACAAACCTGGGTTGCAAGATGTGCTCCCTTATCCTATATACAGGGACTCAGTATCCAGCTGGATTGCTCCCATGTGAAAACAGGGTTGATGGAAACCTCATGCTGGTGATAAACATGCATAAGATGGTGCCATGATTATAAACACAATTATCATTCAGAGAAAACATGCCACTCTGTCATATTCTCCCTCATCCCAAATTAAACCTCACTCCTGCCTTGATAAAATCCCACCAAAGCCTCAGAGAGTGGAATAGGCCATTAGGTTCAGAAAAAGTTAGGCTTAGGTCATTAGGCTCAGAAAATCTGACCGCGGTAGCATTGCTCTAGACCACAGCACTTCTGCAAGGGAAGCTTGCTCTTTCTCCTTTGTCTTGTAGGCGGGGTGAATTTGACTAAAATCGTGTAAGACTAGTTTGAAATCATAGTTTTCTACATTTACATACATCTACATATGCCTGCCTTTCCCGTAGGTAGAGAAACTTCATTAAAATATTCCCAAACTGGGCTTCTTTTACAGCCTGCTGTCATTATAGGTTTTCTCTTCCAGGGAAAGAATAATATGATAAACCTCAGGCTACACAAACACACACAAAATCAATATACTTGTTAAGTGTTCTGATCAAAAGTTTTACTTTCATTTTTACTTCTCCCCCCGCCCCCTTCTCACACTTAGCTTCTTGTGCAAATCTATTCCACTGGCAACCATCTTCTTCTCTTTATTGAATTTTTTGAAACTTAGCACCTAAGAGGTAAGGGCTTAAAAAAAAAGAGTTAAGGGCTTGATTCTTTGTGCACAGATTTGCAAAGGAATACTGGAATTAAAGTCTTTTTCTCAACTGTGTGTTTATTTTATAACATTTTTGCTGTGAAGAAGAGGTACATGATGCCTGCAGACACAAATTCACAGCTCTGGGAACTGCAAAGTCAAGCATCTGTGATAATATTTACTAGATGGCAAAATTACCCAGTGATCCTACAGAAAGCTCTGGAAGGGCATGACATTGTGAATGGATTAATGAAACTCATTTACCAAGAATTAAAGCATGGAATGAATATACAGCCTCATGCTACATAATTAAAAACGAATCCTTATTCCATGATGAATAATCTTTGGACTATAATGTATCTTAAACAGAAAACTATCTTTAGACAATTTTTTCCTCAAGACACATTTTAAAAAATCCTATTTTTTAAAAAGTCATTGAATTTTATCCACCCTGTTTGCGAGTAAAAGTAGAAAGGTTTGCAAGTCTATAATATTTTCCTATCTCTATACGCGCCTCTCGTCGAGGACCATTGACCTAGGTGACTATTAGAATGCCTGTCACGCCCACGAAGGCGTTCTCCCTTCCGCGGTCACCGTGCTCACCTCGCTGCCGAGGTAAATAAACAGGCACCGGAAGGTCAATTCTTAATTGTTTGCCTTCAGCTCAGAAGTCTCGCTAGCGCGTCTTCCGCGACATGAGCGGGGACAGGCGTCCATGTGCTTAAGGGCACTGGGAGGGCGGGGACAGGTCCTTCCTGATGACGTCGGCAGGCGGAACAGGAAGTGGGACGGAGGGGCTGTTGCGTACCGAGTCGGTTGCTTACCTGGGGTAGCCGCCGGGCCGAACGCCCCGGGTTGTCGCCCTTCGTGCCGCTGCCATCCTCCTCCTCCTCCTCCTCATCATCATCATCATGCCGCTGTTTGCGTCGAACCCGTTCGAGCAGGATGTCGGTGGGTGAGGCAGCGTCCGCCCAGCGGGTGGGATTTGTCCTTAGGAAGGGGCAAGTGGGAGGTTACGCGGCTTGGGAGGGCGATTGCCTGCCCCACTCCCGGCTGAGGAAGGGGAGGTGGTCGGCTCCAGGGGGCCGTTTGGAGGGCTCTTGCAAGGCAGCGCGGAGGGGCGCGGAGCGGGGGAAGCAGCCACTCGCGGAAACTCTCCGGAGACATTGCCCCATTGACGCAACCAGGACGCTGAGCCAACATCTGTCCTTGAGGCTGGGGTAAGGAGAGCTTCCTGGTGGATGGGGCCCCACGATACTCGGTGGACAAAGGAGGGTTCAGTGGGGTACTTTTTCCTCCCTTCACGCCACTGAAATATTTTGGGCCGACCTAGAGAGAAGTTACCCATTCTTTTGGGGAGGGGGAAGGTAGCGTTTTAAGCTGTTCATGGCGGGGATTACTTCTAAACCAGCTCGCATAGGTCGGACTGTACTTTTGAGTAGATGAGACTCTTAGGGAGTGAATGGCACCCTCATGAAGTGATTGTTGTAAAGATATTCTCAGTCTCTTAAACTAGTGCACAGTACTGTGTGTTGCATCTTTCTGCCTAAAAGGTTTGATTTGTTGTTCAGATACGTAAGAGGCGCAAGATTCCTTATCTTCAGAGCTTTTGTTGCTTTTATTACGTAGTATATTGGCTGTGAGTTAACTAGGTACGTGCCCTTCCTCCCCCATGCGGTATACAAACTGAACTAATTTGCCTAAGAACAAATTCAAGGATGACTCAGGGCTTTAACCTGTATCCTAGTCTACATGTTTGCCTCATGGGTCATATCTGTCACATGTACTTAGGGAATAACAGTGCTGACAATAGAACAACAGGGCAGCTTGTGTTCCCCTACTCCCATCACATATATAGTGATGCATGTAGTTATATTTTTATATATATATGGATATATATATGCATGTTTTCATAATGCTTTTCAGTCTGTAGAAAGATACCACAAAGTAGTTTATATAAAATAAGAAATCATCCTCAAACATTGACATTGAAGCTTTAATATCAAAAGGGTCAGAGTTTAAATTAACCTTTAGTTTAAAAGCAATTAAAAGTCAACGGGAAGAAACATTTTTTTGTTGCCTGCCATCAGCTGCAGTGATAGTCTTCATTCTTGAGAAAAGAAATTCCATAACTACGGTGCTGCTACAGAAAAGGCTGTGTCCCTTCTCCTCAGCAACTACTTCTTTTGGTGATAAAACATATAACAGGGCCTCAAAAAGGATCTCAGCCTGTAGGGACAGGAGGTGGTCTTTTTGTTATATCTTGTGTGCATGCCATTTAGGGCTTTATAGGTAAACAGTAGTGCTTTGAATTGGGCCCTGGAACTAATCTTATTGATATAACTCATGAATCCGCCTTAGGGGAATTAATAAAAATGGACTTAGTGATTTAATGTTAACCTTGTGCTTTTTGTCCCTTTATTTTGCTTCCTTTCTCTTAGTTGAATAAAAGAATATTGGTTCTTAAATTAATATAGTTAGTGATCTTGGTAATAGTCCAGATTGTCATAACAAAAAAAAGTCTAAAAGGGATTGGAGCTGAAATTTATCATTCAAGAGGTCATTATGAATGAACATCACAAGGCACTTTCTGTCCTCATTTACAATTGTGTCTACTTGCCAATTTCATTTCTGGTTAATAATATTTTAAAATCTGAGAGCAGACTGCTTTTCAAATGCTATTGTAAGAATAGTGAAATCTGGCCGCAATCCTGTGCATGGGAGTAAGGCCCATTGGATTTGGTTGGTTTCACTTCTAAGCTTTATTTAGGAGTACAGTGTTGGCGATGCTAAACTGTTAGAGATTTGGAGCTGAAAGGCAGTGTGCAATAAGTAACCCATGTTAGACTAATACTTTTATTAGGCCAATGCAAATGTCACATAAAAGATCTCCGGATTTCTTCATCAGACAAGCTGTAAAAAGCAAGGACAGAATAAGAAAAAAGGGTGATTTTAATATCGAAGTTTAAAATGTCTGCATAGACTTAAGGTGGAATAGGGGAGGAAGATTTGAAAACATTCACCTAGAATTGAAGGAAGGGCTGCTGAGGACAAAAAAGAAGCAAGCAGTAGCTTTTCTCCCATTCTATTCATATAGTATCTGTTAATCAACTGTGTTCCACAGGTTCCATGACTACTGGAAAACCGGGGGGGGGGGAGAGAAGGCTGCCTTTGTATTAATAAAGCTGGACATAGTAATAGATGGTGTTCTAGGTAACAAACATAAAGTCAAATTATGTCAAATTGGATAGCTTTACCTTGTAGATGGTGAGGAAAAACCATCTGAGAGTAAAGTCCTGAGCTTTGAGAGATATAAAAGCCTCTTCCTCCAATGTAGGGTTCCACTATTGAAATGTTAAGTTGGTGTTCTCTAAATCACACATAGAATGAAGGTAGCCATTTGGCCATAGGAAAAATCCCAAAATCAAGATTAGTGTAATATCCTTATTAGGTCAACTTACAGTTCGGAAAGAATGTGCCAGCTTTCAAAACCTCCAGTTGCTTAATGAAGAAAGATGTCATAAAAAGTGAACTTCCATGTTGGTGTAATAAAGGTATTACACCAATATGGATGCTGGGATTTTTCCTATTCCCCAACATGGTCTTTTCATATTTCTGTAATTAAGAAAGAAAATTAAGGGCACAGCGTTATGGGTAGTTTTATCAGTGACCTATGCAGGCTAGGAGGTAGAGGAAATCTTCACAGTTTGGACTTTTTTGTCCTTCGGAAAGGAAGGTGGCTGGCAGAGGCTCAGAAAAGACAGGCTTCTTTGGTCTCATCCCCACCCACTTAATTGTCACTTTTTTCAGAGGTTGAGTGCCTGACCTTGTCGCTGTGGCTGTTTCTGCTTCCTGGTTTTGCAGCAAACAGGTGTGCTTAGAGTGCTGTCTTCAGCTGGGGATCAGGGAATCTGAAATATACTACGGCCCCTCAGACACTATGTAGAAGTCATAGGATTGTTCTCTATATATTCTCAGTTTCTGCACAGGATCTAATAAAATGTGTTCAATAAAATGATAAAAACTATAAAATCTATAGCAAAAAAAAATATCAGTCATTAGAACGGAGCAAACAAATTGTACAACATCACAGAATTTCAAAATACCATTAGAGTACTTTTATGGAAGGACAAACTAATTGCTGTAGGCTGCACAAGAAAATCATAATAAAGGAAAGGTATGTAGTTAGCCAAGCTTCCAGAAAGAGTTTCACAATTTGAGGGCCACAACTGAGAAAACCAAATGTTGAGTGCATGTCAAATGATTTTCCTGTGGATATACCTTCTGCAAGTTCTTCTGCAAAATAACTTGAAAATGTTTGAAAACTCATGAGAAGTTAGTCCCTAGGATGTGTAGGATATAGGGTAGGACTTAAGAAGTGAAAAGCACATTAAACTGAGCAAATTGTGAGCCAGTTGCTGTTCAGCTAAAATAACTGACTTCATACCACACATCCCTCAACAGGCAGCAACTGCACCTTGTACTAGTTAAAGCTTCCAAAAAAGTTTAAAACCCTCAAGTGAGATGCATGTTTTATGTTTGTAACATAACCAAGGTATTCTTACATTTTGAGAATATATTAGCAAAAGAAACAAATAAGAAATTGTGCTCTTGGAAGCACTGCTTGGTCTGAAAGCTGTCTGTGTCCTGGCTTTTGGACAAAAGCTGTAGTCCTCTGCATGGTTGCTCATATGACATCGATTTCAATAGATTAAGCACAATTTTAATACAAAAACAAGAATACTGAAATACAAAATTTCAGGTTGTACAAATTATAGAATAACCAAGGACAGTCAACTTTTTAGGGAGTCTGCTGTTTAATTTTCACTGTTAGAATAGATTTGAATTCCAGTAGAAAATTAGATCTGATAATTACCTGTCAAAGTTAAACCTCTGTCCATGTCTATAACATGTACGTTTAGAAGAGCCATAGAAAGGACTCCATCAGTTGTGTATGGTGTGTGTTTCCAATTCTATAGATGGCTTAGAAGCAACCATTTCAAGATTGGGTTGTAAATAGTAGTTCAGATACTTCTAGAGAATGTTGGAGCCATTCTGTAGATGACAGTGCAGTCTTCTGCTGTGTACAGATGCTGCAATCCTATGACCACTTCTCTGGGAGTAAGCCCCTTTAAATGTAGTGGGACTTATTTCTGAGTTGATATGCGTTGTGCACTAAATTATTTAGTGTCCTTGAATACCACTGATACATTGGAAGTTCAGTGGCAGGTGGACTTTGCTTTCTGGCACTAGTTTTGTTGTCTTAGTCAATATTATAAAAAGCTCAAAGAATATTTTTGTTTAATGCAGGTGAACTGCTTGCTCTTGATTACAATTGCTATAAAATGCTGTTATACTGATCCTGCTTTATATTATGACAGATTACACATGCAGGACATTAATGTGTCATGCTATTTTAGACGTTTCTGCTTGTACAGCTTGAGTATTTAGGTGAGCTGCTTGAGGATTGAGTTCTACTGCCTGTTGGGGACAGCTTTCCCCAACCTTGTGTTTTTCAGATTTTGTATTATAGTTTTGGATTATACTTCCCATCAACCTTCACCATTGGTTGTGCTGGTTGGGGCTGACAGGAGATAAAGTTCAAAACATGGTGAAGGGATCACATTTGGAAAGCTGCTGTTAGGGTTTGGAATTTTGCCCCTCCTGGGTACTAATGATTGCCTGGACAGGACTTATTGTATGGCCCTAAGAGTGGTTAACTCTTCTTTGAAGGAAGGGTAGTTCCTTTGTACTTAAAAAGAAAGTACTAAGACTCCTGGTAGGGAGAAAAAAAATCTGTAATCTTTGGCCCTGGAGACTTGAAGGGGTTGTCGTGTCTTTTGGATTATATTGGTTATTTTTTATTTGATCTGATTTGGTTTCCAGGTTGACATGGGATAGGAGCCAAGGTTATAGCTCAGTGGTAGAGCACATGCTTTGATGCAAAAGATCCAGTTTTGTGCATGGCATATCTAGGGAGGGCATCGGGCTTCTCTGGGTTGCTGTCAACTGTAATGGACTAAATGCATCAGTGGTCAGACTCAGTAAGATAAATGCCTTACACTGTGTTTCTGCACCCTTGGTGGATGATGCATTATGCCTGGGAGTGGATGAAGGAGTGTGTGCTGTTTGGTTCTTGTGACCCGCAGTTTATTGAACATGGTATCCTCCAGGGTCATCTGGCAGGAGTGGGTCCAAGAAGCTGGAAGCTAGGGGTAGTTTGAGCATTTCTGGAAAAATCGACGAATTCAGTTTTTTGGTGCTTGGAAACTTCTGTTCCACTTTATCACCTCTTGCTTTAGAGATGCCACAAAATTCCCACATTGCCCTCTATGTGTTTTGACTTCTAGTATCATCATCATCATCATCATCATCATCATCATCAGAACATTTCTATGCCGCCCCTTGCCGAAGTATGACATGGTGGTTAGTGTTGGGACCCAGGAGATCCAGTTTCCAGTCCCAAAATTGTCATGAAACTCACTGGTAACTTTAGGCTGGACACTTACTCTCAGCCTAACCTGCCTCACAGGTTCGTTGCTGTGAGGATAAAATGGAGTAGAAGAGAAGTATGTAAGCCATTTTGGTTTACTTATAAGAGCAGAAGTGGTGGGCTGTAAATGTAGTGCTGTGATAATATATGAAGTTTTATTTTTTCTGTCTATGAATCACAAGGAGGCTGCAGAACTTCTAAACAGGTTCTGAAGGCATCTTTGAAATGTATCCTGCATTCAGATGGGTGCTAGTAGACAAAACAATTAACTTTGCAGAGTCTCTTCAAGTCATGGTTTTACCACTATATTCCACAAACTTAAAATGTATACTGGGAAGGATTTTTGAGTGAATGAATATTATTCATCCTATGGTTCATGCTGTAGTTTGGATGTAAAATAATATGAATACAATGTATAAGTCATTCATTTACCTTGAAAGAACTAATTTACACAATGTTGAAATGCTTACTTTTACATAGTAATGAAGGATTCAGATGTAGGTTTGTTAAAACTAAGCAGGTGATACAAGTTGGTGATTTTGTGATTAAAACTGAATTCTTCCCCACCCCTACCCCTTACACTGCAGTAGGTGTGTGTCTCATTATATAAATTAATAATATGATATAAATTAATATGAATTATTTACTTCAGTGGGAACTCAAACTGTGTTTTCGCGTAAGTAGTCTTAGGAGTATATTGAGAATAAAAGGCACTTGTTTAAAATAAATAGTGCTTGTGTTAAGAATACTAAGAGCACCATTTTTTCTGTGCAGAAAAGGCCACAAATGAGTGCAATACTTCTGAAGACTGGGGAGTCATTATGGATATATGTGACAAAGTTGGAAGCACACCTAATGGGTAAGGTTCATCACTGAATATTATTTTATGTGCTTTCTACTTGATCAGTGTTTCCTTTACCCCAAACAGATACTGATTTCAGTCACTTTAGGCAGGTACACATGGTGAAGTGTTTTTTATGTCTTACATAAAAATTCAGAATCTATTTCAGACACCCAGAGAAAATGTGGGTTACTTTAAAACTGTCCAAGCTGGTAAGTAATTTCTCCTTTGTGCTGTGAAAAAGCAGAGCTTTGTTAAGAAGGGGGATCCAGAAAGGGCCAACTTAATTAGGGCAAGCGTGCATTATTCATAATAGCAAGTATGAACTAATTGTGTTTAAAAACTCTTGGGGACTGTCTGCTCATGATTCTTCTGTAAAGTGTATGCAACTAAATATATGCACTACTAGATTAAACTGCAAGAGGAAAAATGTGTGTTTGCTTGAATAGGGCAGCACTTCCTTCAAGATCTGAAAGCAATCAGACTCTGTTTTATCTGAATAAGGAAAAAGGCATGCCAAATTATAGTTGGTGCAATCAGCAAGCTTTCGTAGGTAAGATTAGCATTGTCCAATTTAAGGCTAAAAATCTACAAGGATAATCAGCCAGAGGACACAGGAGAGATTATATCTTTTCAACATGAATTGAATCAACATGTGGAAGAGGGAAGAGGATGGGTGTACAGAACCTGTACAATTTGGAACTCTGCATTTTCAGGGATCCCATTTATGTGGAAAGAACCTAAAGGTGTAGGCTGTGTACACACAGCTTACATAATGTCTGATGGAAAAGGGTGCTAATATTATTATGCTTCCCCTCTGTCTAATTTGAAGGTTTCTAAAATGATATAAAATAGGAACATTACATCTTCAGGCAGGAGGGAAGATGAGGTAGTTAATTGTTCAGAATTTATCTGTTGCTTCTTGAACATTTTCACTTCCCTGTCCACTGAGTTCAAATGAATCTTGTATCCTAATAAGCTTATTAAGGTTATATTGGAAGTTGTAAACATAATAAGTGGAACCTCTTTCTGTATTGTTCATAATAAAGAATTTGTTCACAAAGGCACATCTTGATACATTTTTACTTGCAAGACTTTCCATCCTCTTCTTAAAGTGATTAAAGGGAGGAAACAAATAGAGTATTTTTGTACACAGACCTGAAAGAGGGGTGTTTCTCACATCTATACTGCATGCCTTCAAAACTTGCAGAGAAGAAAGGACTTTCACATGAATTCTGTTCATGTGACATTGGATTCTGCCTAAATAAAATGGCCAATCTATTCTATAAATTAAACAGAAATTGTCTTAACAGCTCTCAGTATTCCTTAGCTAGTATCACTGCCTAAGGCTTTCTGAAAGCTGTATGACTTTTTTCTATATAAACATGCATAGGATTGGGCCCTGGGTAATTAAAATAAGAGTCTTATACTGACATTTTTTATCTAGAGCAAAAGACTGCCTTAAAGCTATTTTGAAGAGAGTAAACCACAAGGTACCCCATGTTGCTCTGCAGGCACTAACTGTAAGTATAATTATTTATTTTGGAAGGGAAAGTTTAAACAGTTCCTTTTATGACAACACTTAGACCAGTTTCTTATATTTGAATTTTATGTATTGGCTGAAATGATACCGCATGTGGTCTTCGTTCTTTAGTTTTATTTTTAGTTCTTCATGACCTTTGTGCATCACACATATGGGTTCTGCATCTGTATGGAGCCTCTTGTTGGGAAGATTCAATAACTAAGCTTTCAGTTTGGTGGGACCCCCTCCTCTTTCTGTTCCAGGTTCATGCAGGACGGCTTCTGTCCATTTTCACTGTTTCTTTTTAACCACCATTGTGCCTAGATGGGGAGGTGCTTCTTTCCTCACACTTGAGTAAAGACTTCTACTTTTGATACTTCATGGCACTGAAGCAAAATGGAGGACTGATACTGTACCTCAGAGGCATCAATCAGTTTATCACCTCCTCCTCCTGTTAAAAGGAGACTGGTTTTCCTCAATTGATCTGAAAGATGCCTGTTTCCACATCACCACAACTCTCTATGTTTCCAAATCATCGGAGTTGAAATGTTCCAATCTGAGTGCTCCCATTCAGTGTTTTCAACCACCCCGCCAAGTGCATGGCTCTGCTCACACCTTTCCCTCTAAGGAATACAGATCTTTCCATGCCTCCGTCACTGCCTCCTTATCATCATAGCATTTACGGCAGAATTGCTGTCCTCCATCCACATTACCTACTCCTTCCTGAAGACCCCAGGGCTGTGTATAAGCCACAGGAAATTTGTTCTCTCTTCCTCCTGGTCCATCCTCTGTATAAGGGCCTGCCTTTACTTACCCTCAGTAAATGCTGTTCTCCTAGCATCCAGGGCAGCCATGCTAACCAAGATTGCCACTGAATTCAGGATGCAAATGACTCCCACAGCACACCAATGATAAAAGCTGCTCAGCCGTTATCTTTATTGTAGGCCACCTTGAGACTACAGTAGCAGGCGGCATGTAAATGAAAGGATAAATAATTAAGTCTCATGGCAGCAGCAGTAGTGATCCCCTTTGTGAGACTTCAAATGAGGCTCCTGCAGCCCTGGTTTATCCACAGATTCCATTCATCAGGCAACCCATGCAGTATCCCCCTGTCCTTCCAGAGCAGCCTTCACTGGTGGACCACACCTTGCAGCCTGCCAAAGGACACCAGCTTCTCCCCCCCCCCCCCGCCCCCGGCCCCATCACCACAGATGCACTCCTATAAGAATGGGGAGGCCACTGCAATGACCTCCAAACCCAGTGGACTCGGAACCTCCAGGAGTTCTGCAAGCACATCAGCTTCTTGGAGATGTTAGCTATTCACAATGCATGCCTTGCATTCCAATGATCTTGTATGGGCATCATGTCCAGAGAGGGACAACAGAACTGTGATATGTTGCATCAATAAGGATGGCACACAGTCCATACTGCTGATGAAACTGACTGTTGGGATTTGGGACTGGTGCATCAACAGGGACATCACCCGTGCAGCCATGTATGTGGTAGGCTTGAGCAACATCCTGGCAGACACGCTCAGTTACTTGAACCTTGGGGCACACGAGTGGTAGCTGAACACTGGTACCATCCATGACCTGTTTGACTCGTGAGGTGCACCCTCGATTGACTTGTTTGCCCCAGCCAACAATATGATGTGCATGATTTTCTGCTTCCAGACAAGGCAAAGGAACAGCTCTCTGAGAGATGCCTTCCTCCTCCAATGGAGGGGAATTCTATTCTATTCTTTTCTCCCTTTCCACCTGATCACAAGGGTGCTCACAAAGTTCAGGAGGAACAAGATGAACCGCATTCTTATCACATGGTGGCCAAGACAGCCATAGTTCATCTGACTCCTCTGGCACTGCTGTGCAAACTTTCTCTGACTAACATGTACCCTGGACCTGATCTCACAGGACTATGGCTGAGTTCTCCACCCTAGTATTGAGGCACTGTGCCTCATGGCATGGCACATCACAACATAGGCCCCAGAGTAGGGACTCAGAAACCATAACCATCCTCAGTGTGGTCCTCAAGAAGCTCCTGTTTGTTCAAATGGGACTGCCTTTACATGTCAGGAGAACTTTGTCCCGCAAAATGCCACTGTCAAGTAAATACTCAGCATCTTACAGATGCTCTTCCAGAAGGGGCTGAAACCGTCCTCCACCAGGGTATACTTAGTGAATCTCTTCCTCCCGCCCACCACTACAAAGGTGCTTAGTTTTCTCATACCCCGTATCCACCAGATCCTGAGGGACCTCCATAACATGCCCCCTCCATCTGCTCCTGTACGCTAGCATGGAGCTTCTTGATTGTGCTGCAGGCATTGACCAAGAACCCCTTTGAACCAGTGGTCACAGTTGACTTCTACCTCCTATCCTGGAAGGTCGTCTTCCTGGTGGCCATCCTGTCAGCCAGGTGTTGCAGTAAGCTGTGTGTCTTCCAGGAAGACCTTCCCTACCTCATCTTCCACAGAGACAAGGTAGCGCTCCGACCCAACCCAAGATCAGGTTGGCATTCCACTTCATCCAGGACATTGTCTCCCCAACCTTTTTCAACACTCCTACCAACTCAGTGGAATCCATCCTGCACTCACTGGACATCTAAAGGGTCCTTGTGTTTTACCACTCTAGGACAGAATCCTTCTGCCACAAACCAAGACTTCATTTGTTCCTCTGTACTCAGATGGGTGAACTAGGTCATGAACACCATTTCTCTGGCCTACAAGCTACCTGGCTTTCGACTTGTAGGTCATCCAAAGGTTCACCCAAATGATTGCCACATCCATAGCCCTCCTCACAGAGACCCCATTGGAAGAAGTCTGCATAGCTGCCACATGGTTCATGCCGTCAACATTCATCAAACACTGCAGGCTAGACATCTATGCAAGGGCTGACTGCTCCTTCAGCAGAGTAGTCCTCTCCTTGATTTTCCAGTAATGACACCATCCCTCTATCCTGCCTGAGGTAAGCTCACTAGTTGCCCAAATGTGTGATGCACAGAAGCCAGGAAGAAGAAAGGCAGGTTGCTTATCTGTAACTGTTGTTCCCTGAGTTGCTGTCTGTTCATTCACATAACGTGTCCATTGGCCATACTTGGTGTTGTCCCTCTGACGATTGTCCCCTTGCTTACCAAGGGCGTACAGAGGCCAGGCCAGTCTGGGGTGCACAACACTTCACTCTCACTCACGGGACCCATGGCAGTCTCAATAGAACTGAGGGAATGGGAGGGAGCACCTTCCACATGAACCTGGAACAAGAAGGGGGAGAGGCTTCCCCCCAGTTGAACACTTAGGCATTGAATCTTCCCCACAACAGTCTCTGTGTAGGTGTGTGAATGCACATATTACCATTCCAAGAGCAGCGGTTACAGGTAAACAACCTGGCTTTACTTGTTAGAACCAAAAGGACCAAAACTCCTGTCATTACTTATATAGAGAATATGAATCTTATGTGGTTATTTTCACTGATTCAGTTTTGTCCTTCCTTTCACTTGTCAGCTATTAGGAGCCTGTGTTTCAAACTGTGGAAAAAATTTCCACTTGGAAATCTGTTCACGTGACTTTGCCAGTGAAGTACGTGTTATAATTAATAAGGTAAGGTTCTAATGAGCATTATACTTTCTGAAAATTAATGGAAAAATGTATTAATATAGTAGTGTCTTGATATCTGTCAGTATACTTCTGATGCCAGCTTAAGTTACAGAAATGAACATAAATTCTTGAAATATAAGCCAGAGAAATTAATGGAAGAAATAGGGTAAGGCTATACAAAACCACAATCAAATTGTACTCTGCGTATAACTATTCTGAAGAAAATTTTCCTGTTGCAATAGCTTAAGTAACAACTTTCATGCAGGTGCAAGAGATTGCAAAGAAAGAATAAATATTATCCTATGTGGTGGTACAACAGAAAGAGCAGAAGCATTTGTATGTTTGGAAATGTGTATGCTTGGATAATGCTAACTGTAACAACTCCCTATGAATCTATTGTAAACATTTTACCAACTCTTACTGCCTTCCAGATTTGAGAACAAGACTATTAAATTCTGTACAAACATAGGCCAGGATTCAAAGAACCACACCTGGTATAATTTAGCACCTTTTCTTTAAGCATCAGAAGCTTATATCACAGATTCGTTTTGAACCTACCTTCAAATGTTGCTGCAGATACAAGCTCTAAGCCCTTGTTGGTGTGCAGAACTAGCTTTGTGGATCTTTCAATTTTAACTGTAATTTTAAAAGTTTGCTTTGTAAACTATGTTGTAAATTCATGTCTGCTTGTTTATGCACATGGGTGTCTTTATGTGTTCTTTCTTTTTTTAGGCTCATCCTAAAGTATGTGAAAAATTAAAAGCTTTAATGGTAGAATGGTCGGAAGAATTTCAGAAAGACCCACAGTTTAGTCTAATATCAGCAACTATTAAATCTTTAAAGGAAGAAGGGATTACATTTCCTACAGCTGGGTCACAGGTAAGAGACTATATTTGATTCTGTTTAAGCATATTTAAAATTTTGAAGATACAGAACTATACTTTAGTTAAATTAATTGAAATACTGAGCTTGCTTCCTCCTTAGTAAATGTTTGGTTTTGAGATTATGACTAGAGTTTTGACAACTAATCAGTGACAACTATAGTAAAGTGTATATTCTTGCCTTCAAAAAGGACTCTTCCCTGGTCAGTGTACAAATTAAAAAACAGGCCTTAAAATGATGCCATAAGTTGGATTACCTGTATTGCCTTGATAGGACTTCTAGCATCAGCAAGCCAAAGGTTTTAATATTTTTGTTGTATAATTTATATTTGTTTATATTTTTTTGTTGTTGTGAGCCACCCCGAGGCTTTGTTGCTATGGGGGCGGCATAAAAATGTTTAAATAAATAAAGGTCCAGATAGATGCAAAATAGGATAATGTCAACTTCACGTGCCATTCCTTCTCACACTCCTGCCTAATACTGCATCCTGTGACTTGGTTGTGCTGTTGGAAAATGTCATGCTCATCCTTAATAAGACTGCATTGCTGGTGTTCATTACTGGCACCTTGGTGGATGAACAGAGTGTTGTAGATTTCTCCCAGCTCTGTCTGCTTAGATAGTCCATGCAAGACCAGGCTGGAGCAAGGGAGTTGTGATGATCTGTTAAAGTACCAGTATGCTTGTAAGCAACCCAAGGTGACAAACATGGGTCTCTGCATTCCTGACAGCAAGAATTCTATGAGGCAGATGAGGCTGAGAGTCTGTGACTGGCATTTGAGGTAGTTTAGATTGAGAGTGAACACTGCATTCCCATGTCCTGTTCTATGGCATCAAAATATTTCCAATTCCTGAAAAACCATCCTTGGACCCATAATATCAATCATCTGGTTACAAAGAACTTCTTCTTGGGTAAAGTGCTCAAGAGAGTACTGATCTTTTAGCTGTAGTTGCTCTAGAATAAAACTGATTCCATTCTGGTTTCAGGCTCTACTTCAGGACTCAGCTATAGTAAAGTATAGTATAGTATATTAATATCGTTTTTATGGTAAGGAACCCAAGGTGACTTACATAATCATCTCAATTTTTCTGTATTTTCTTAATATGTATATTGTGAAATGTTCAGAATTGTAGGTTATTAAGCAATATAACATAGTGTGTATAAACATTAAAAGCAAGCACATGTAGATGTGTTATCACACTGAACTGTTTCGGAACAGGGGGATCTCACAAGATGGAAATAAATTTATTAGAAACTTACACTTAAGCCTAGTAACTTCTGGATAGAGACCCTTTTCCAGGATTGCAGATCAATGTCACTTTCGTGCTGGCTCAGACATGCATAAACTAGTGTCAGGCTTGGTTGTTTCTTTGCCCTGTTGCCCAGTCCCTGACTTCCTCTTTCTCAGCAAATGATATTCTGTGCCTCTGTCAATATTAGACAAAGTGTGTCTTGCCTTCAAAAATGGCAATGAGGAGCAAATCAGAGCATATAGGGAGAGGCAGGAGCGGGCAAATCTAAGCTTCTGCACATAGTGCTAAATCATAGTTTTGTATTGCTTTTGTAGTATTTATGCTGTCCCTTGGGAACTGATTGTGTCTTTGTTTAAGGGGCAGTGTAAGAGACCACCAGGACTCACAGGGTCAAGTCATCCTCATGCTCTTGCTGTAGATTCCCAAGCAGTCAGGTGTGAGGAAAAAGGTGAAAGGGAAAGCTACCTGAGAGAATTTCCAGTCAGTAAGGTTAGGCTAGCCCAGCTAGGGGAAAGTGGAACTGCATCAGCAACACCTGGGACGTATCCACAGCAGCCTGTTAAGTTCGGAGAGGTAGCAGGAGAGGGAATTGCTATATGACATGCCAGAAGGCGGCAGAGGGTCCTCCCCTGCCCTGGCTTTGTTTGTGAAGGAGTCTGGAAGGACCCAGCAGGGAAAGATGAAAACACCGCTGGCATATTTAAACCTGGATGTAGCATCTGGCATGGAAGTGCAGAAGAAGCATCAAGCACAGAGAGACTCGGGAAGGCTGTCCCACAGGAACAGACAAGCCTTGGTCCAAGGAGGTGTGCCGCCTGAAGGGCAAGTGCTTCAAACCAAGACTTGGATATTTGAGAGATGCCAGGCTGGCAAAAGGGGAAGGGAAGCTTATGTCTTTACTTTAAACAAGAACGTCTAGGCTGGTTGAATTTCACTGTGGTAACGGAGGCAAAGACTTATAAATAAGGGCTGCTATTTGAGAGTCTTGTGGATATGGAGGCTACAGAAGAGAGTAAGTTCAATGTACCCCTGCCTGACAACAGGTTCACAGACAGTACGTGACATTACTTTGTGAATGAATTGAATCAGATGAGATGCTTCCACAGAAGGATTTCTATCCAAAATGTGTTCCTAGCACCTCCTAAATTTCCTGTCCATTATTGTTCCAAATAACTTAAACATGGTACCACAGAGCAGCTACAAGCAACATACAAGCAAATATAGAACTTTTCCACTGGATGTAGCATATTTATGTTGCAAGTTCATTTACAGAGTCCATCAATGACTGCCAACAATGGTGCATCATCTAGCAAAAACAAAGAGGATGAAGATATTGCTAAAGGTAAAATATTAGTCACGTACATCTTGAGTGATGAAATATTTCAAGTGTTTCTAAGTTTGTGCTCAGAAGCACAATTTTATGCTTAAAATGCACAACATTTTCCATTTAAAGACATCTGAACCCATGAAATGGAAAATGCTAGGAAAGAAGGTGCTAAGGGAAGAAGAAATGGATCTTCTATTTTTAAGGTTGTGAAGGAAGTAGGAAAACTAAGTTGCTTCTCAGAAAATGTGTACTCCCTTTCACAGAGCTTTCAAGATACCTATCATTTAAGTCTTTTGAAACCATTAGTGCTTAGCATTGCAACCTGTCAAGAACTGACATTTTTTTTAAGCTCATAAACACTTTCAGTTTTGAATCCTTAATTCCTCATAGCTATACCTAACAGCCTACAAAACTCTCCATGAGTTCACTTGAGTTAGTATATTTAATACAATTTAAATATTCTTTTCACCAAAGTAGTCCTCTAGGAATCTTGCGCTATGCCTCAAGTGTAATCAATTGGTTGTCTCCTTTTACATGTAATTGTATAACTTCTTTATTGCCATCAGTGGCTTAGTCAGTTCTGCATTTAAAACCCATGTCAGAAAAACTCCAGTCTGTGGGCCACTCAATTCATTCAATTCAAAACTCCAATCTGTGGGCCACTCAATTCATTCAATTCAATTGAATTCATTCAATTCACCATATTGAATGAATTAAGGATTGCAAGTTGTGCTGTTAGTCCAACTGGATCATGTCATTGGTCCTGTTGAGATATTACCCTGTGAGAGAACTTATTTTATATACAGATGCCTCTCTTTGATGTATTCTATTGTCCACAGTGGTATTAAAGAATGAACATTCTCAATAGTCAACTTCCAGACCAGGACTGAGCTATAGTATGGTTTGAATAATTTAAACATATTGCAATCCAAAATACTTCTACTTAAGATTCCGAATGTGTACTTGTATAATAGGCTGCAACTGAATTTTTACAATTTTTGTCCATGTTGCACTGTCAAATTACTTACTGCATTAAAGACCTTTAGAGCATTTGTTCTCGAATAGTTGGGACCATATGACACAGTATCCTGAAGCAGATGGTGTCTTCTCTCCTTGATGAAATCAGCATCCTCTGCCAGAAAAGCTTGAGTGATGCACTGTTTGAAAAGTAGAATGGGAGAGAGTTTGAATACCTCTTTTCACTGTGAATTGAGGAAACTCAGAAGGAATTGATGCCTTGTTACACTGTCATCTTACGTGTGGTGTTAGAGTTAGGTTCTGTTCTATCCTTTGAACACCAGTATTGGGATTAGTACCTTAATCTACATCTTCTTAAACGCAAAAGTAGGCTGAAGTGCAAATGTACAAGAGAGGATCTCTGTATATCTTGGGCTCAAGAAGCTAGCTGAAAATGAGTCCCATATTCAAAGGTTTTACCAAACATACTACATTGTAAAATCTGAAATTAACACTTTCATATTTATTTCGATCAGTATAAAATACATTTTCTTGTCTCCAAATCATAGCTATTGAATTATCTTTGCAAGAACAAAAACAACAACAAACAGACACAAAATCTTTATACCCATCTGTAGAAGTTCAGCAGAACAATCAGAAATTCTCACGAAAAGTGCGAGCCTTATATGACTTTGAAGCTGTCGAGGACAATGAGCTTACCTTTAAGAGTGGAGATATTATTGTTGTTTTGGATGACAGGTATGTTGTATTTTGGGCTCTATTTGGGCAAGGGGTTACTGAGCTAAGCATATATGTGCTTTATTTATTCTATTATTGCTTGCTGCTTTCTTTGAACAGTCACTCTGCTGAAACATCATAAAACACTTCTGCAAATCATTTAGATCAAATGCTTTAAAAGCCTTTGTAGTGGATTTCTCTTCTTGAAATTCTAAAAGGATTATGTACCATTAAGCTATAAGGAAGCTTTTGCAACAGAATTTATTTAAACTCTAACTACACATGTCTAGTGGTGTGGAAGCCTGTTATCTCCACCCTATTTCCAAAGCCTATTGATTGCTTTTCAAATATAAGAACACAAATTGAAGCAGAACCAAAGCAGTAAATTACCAAGACTGGAATACTTGCTTGTATGTAGTTCCATTGAAATTAACAGAACTTTCAAACAGAAATATTCAGGATTGTGATATGACCTGATAATTACAGTCATTCCAGCTTCTGATCTTCAGAGCCCCAAGTTTATTGTCAGCCCCAGAAAAGTTCTTTATGACTAAGCATTTTACCCAAAGGCTTACAATTACTATAGAAGTAATTGTTACTCCAGTTGTATGTTAACATGCATTTCTCTTGTTCAAATAAAACTTACAACTAGCTATTGGATCTGTGTGTGCTGCTACCCTTCCCCTCTTTTTTGGCTTGGCCTTCTGGAGAAGATTGGAAGATTTTCCTACTGTTTTCAGCAAACCATTGTTTATGTCCTTATCCCAAACTCTAATTTATGGAAACAAGCCAGGATTGTAAACCATAGTCTGAACTTGGATTGGTTGTATAAACTGGACTCAGGCATAATGAAGAACTGTAATGACTTTGAAAACAGAAGTGAAAACATGTAATCTTGCAGTCATGCCAGAGGGTATAACTGGAGGGTGGAGTTGATGAGCTGAGGCGCACTCATCCAAATGTAGCCAGTGAATTTCCAAAGTTTTTGAATGGCTTTTTGGCTTGAAGACTGGAGGCCATGCAAACTGGCTAGCCTACAACATGTATCTTTACAGAGGGTTTGCAGCAGCACTGACAATAAGGAACAGTTTCTTCAAACCAAGAAATGCCTCCCAGGAGTGCAGTTCTCTTCCAAGTTGGCAACACTTGGTTTTCAAGCAAATACTTGCATTTTTTTAAGACACAAGGGGATGCATGTTGCCCAGCCCTAGTTGAAAGTAATATAGAAGGTTGCATCATAGCAGTGCCTAAAGTAAAAAAACATGACTCTTTGTGAGCTAGATGGACCTTTTCCATTTTTGATTCTTCAACACAGCTGAAGATTGCAGTCTTAGTTAGAAATGAGACACTGAATTCTTATATTTGCAGTTGGGGATTCATTGTACTTGTGTGAAATAACTTTGCTGATCATACAGTTAAGTGATCAGCAAAATTCATACTTTTGAGAAGCCTGAAAATAAATACACACACATACAGAGAGAGAGAGAATGAATTTTAAATAGCTTGTTTGAATCAGTTTTGTATCATATAAAAATTAATGGTACTTTAGTCTGAGGGTTTGGAAGACATCTTTTTCTCTCTCCTAACTGAAAAGTTACAAAGAAGAATAAAAAAATAGAGTGGGTTGAATATATGCAGTAAAATATATTTAAACTTGTACTCAGGTGGTGCTTTGGGAAGATTCTGCCCCCATTCACAGGATTCTCTTCTGTTAGTAGTGTGCATTGTAGAAGGCCTTGGGCAGTTTGGAAGGAAGGGCAGTTTGCAATGTTTTAATTGTAGCAGGAAGCTGAGGCTTCTATAGCTGGCTTTTTGGTAATAGAACAAGGATTGCATGAAGGCAAGATACAAATACTGCTTCTATATTAAGGGAAAATCTGGATATTTTCTTAAAGGAAGAATGGGAAAGAATGCAAGTTGAAGGGGAGGAGGCAAGAGATATAATATTGTAGTTCAGTTGTGTGTGTTAAAATGTATATCTTTATTGCTTAGTGATGCCAACTGGTGGAAAGGAGAAAATCACAGAGGAGTGGGATTGTTCCCATCTAATTTTGTGACTTCTAACTTAAATGATGAATCTGAGTCAGGTAAGCTGAGTAAAAACTTGGTCCTGAACACTTTAAAAATGATATATCAAGTATTATCCCACATTAATGTAGGAAAGCACCATGAAACAAAATGACTAAATACCCTAGAATTAAATACCCTGGATATGCAATCTAATTCTCTGACTCACAATGCCTAATTGTGTTCAGCCTGTCAGACCACTTTTACTCCATGCAATATAATAAGAGAGCCTGCATTTTTTTTGAAAAGTAACTTTCCATAGGTCTGTTAGTGGTGTAGTATTTCAGGGCAAAGCTGCATATGAAGATGGCATGAAGTTCTGTTCATGAAGAGACTTTGTTCATAAATGTGGTGTTCCTGCCCAATCAAACATGTTGCAGTTGCCAAACAGCATTCAAGTATCACAAGTTAGTCATAATTAAAAATCTTGAGAAATTACCTTTAATTTGATGTCTGAGTACTTTGCTCAGAGCGCACAGTAAAAGATGTTGTCTTAACCATGAACAGAATTTAAAAATTATTTTCCATTTGCCCATCTCTGAAGAGTTTCTGCAGAAAGCTTAGCAGGCTGCATATTATGAGTTATATTTGCAGATGAGATTAAAGAGAAATATTCTGGATTGAGATATTAGACTGAAGAGAAATGCATACTCTCATGTTCTCTTAGCAGCAACTGTGGATAAGAACTCTTCCTTTGAAGATATTGCTGAGGAAGTTACAAAAACTGAGCCTGAGCCAGTTTACATAGATGAGGTATGTGGTGGCTTTCAAATGGTACAAAATAATTTAGTTAAAACTCTCTTGAAGAGACAACTGTATGATTTTGTCATGGGAGAGAAACTGAATGTTTCAGGCTTCCTCCTGAAAAAGCTTTAACTTTCTAGTGATTTTTTCCCTGTTTTTAAGAATAAGATGGACAAGGCATTGCAGTTACTTCAGAGCATAGATCCAACAGATCCTAAACCTGATTCTTCTGATCTTCTGGATTTAGAAGGTAACTTTGATTGCTGATGAATGTGCTAACATTCCAGAACTACTAGCAAGTTAATTCTCCTTTGTTCACTAAACTAAGTCTGAAAGGAAGATGGGTGGGTATGGTAGGGTGCTAACCCATCACCATCTGGAATCCATATTTCATGGCAGACATTTTTTATATTGCTTGCAGTCTCTTCAACAAGTCTGATCACTTACTGAACAAAATTAACATGTTTGTATTCCTAGATATCTGCCAACAGATGGGTCCCATGATAGATGAAAAACTAGAAGAAATTGATAGGTAAGACAGTCCATGTGACACTTGAAAGCAAAAGATGTACTATATGCTTTGACAGCAGGAGAGTCCAAGTGGTGGGGCAGAGGCAGGGCAAAAGTGTCACGACAGTCTTTGAATTCCCTACAGGTAGCAACCAATACTACATAAAGAGAAAACTGAGGTACCATATGTGGAAAGGATGGAATGAAGAAACCACACAGCCATGCAAATGTGCTCCTTTGGACCAACATTCTCCTGTTCCAGCAACAACTCCCTTTCCACAGAGAGCCTTTAAGATGATGAGTGGGAGGGGAAAATCCATGCAGCCAGAGTAACAAAACAAGGATAGTACTCAAAATAAGGCTTGGTTTTCTCAGATTCATATAGAAAAGCTGCCTTTGAAACACAGGAGCAAGTGCTGAAAGCATCTAAAAATCAGTGCCTTAAATAATCATCACAAAGAATCCACCACTGCAGGCCTACTGAGAAGCCACACAAAAGAGCATTCTAGATTATGTATATCTCATAAGAATTAAGACCTGGATGTCTCAGGATAAAGTATGGGCATGCTTTTCCACCTAATACTAATAACAATGAGTATATCCCTTGGAAATCCAGCAGGGAACCTTTACAAAACACAGATCCACCCCTCCCCCACATGACAGTCATCTGAGTGGGATGGTGTAAATTGGTGTCCTGCAACAGTTGGGGATTGGACCCAATGGCCTTCAAAAACATGGCATACTTAATTGCTGGAATTGGAGCAGCTGTTCCTCTTCTTCCTCTGACCTTTGTGAGGTGGTGGAAGGCCGGTGATCTGCAGCTGCCCTAACTCCTGGGCGCCTTCGTACCTCCCAGAAGACTCCCTCTTTAGATCACCCCCAAGATTGCTTCTGATTGGCCAACTCAGGCTAATGGCCTTAACTAAGCCAATTTTTTTTAGCACTGCTCTGAAGAAAGGTGTTGGAATTGCCTGAGTGGGTGTCAGACTGACTCCAGAATGTTTCTGCTTCAGGAGAAGGGCTTGAAACTGTAGGAATGGTCTGTGCATGTGTGGAAATTCATACATGTTCACTTATAAAGCTGAAGTTGCTGTGCTACCTCCAGTAGCACAGGGGTAGCATCAGTCAGCCACCATGGAGAAACTGCTGGCAGCTTGGCAAAGAGGAAATCTTTATTTTGAAAAGTTATGGAGGGGAACTGGAACACAAATGTAGGACGTAAAGCAGAATCCAGTGTTGTGGGAGAATTTGGCCTGGGTCAGAAATGAAGCAGGAGAATAACTCGCGAAATTCTGTGGAGCCAGCCATCTGTTTAATGCAAACACATACTTCAGGCATCCTGTCAGTTGAGGGTACACGTGGCAATCACCAGATGGCCAATACAGAAATCTAATAGATCACATAATTGCAGATAAGAGATGGAGAAGCTCTCTTTTCACTCTCAGAACAAGACTAGGAGCAGAATGTGGTGCTGACCATGAATGAATAATCTTGAAAATCAGCGTAAAGCTGTGAAAGGTCACTAACAGAAGCATGGCGACAAAATATAACTTAAATAATGCATATAGATTAGCTGCTGAAGTGCATCAAAGAATTTCAGAAGATGATCAATCTATGCTTTATAGACTACAGTAAAGCCTTTGGTTGTGTGGGTCATGAGGAGTTATCCAAGGTCCTGAAAGAATGATGTCCCAATGGGTGACCTGTATGAAGGACAAGAAGCTACTGTTAAGAAGGAATATGGAGACACATGGAATATGGAGAGAATATGGTTTCCTATAGACAAAGGCATCAGGCAAGGGTATATATTATTTCCTTATCTCTTCAAACTTTCTACAGAAATATAAGGAATGCAGGTCAGGATCAGAGGAAGGAGGAGTTAAAATAGATCAGTTTAAGATACACAGATGGTTCCACCTAGTTGACAGAAAGCAACAGTGACTTGAAATGATTCCTGATGAAGGTAAAAAAGTACAAAAGCAGGACTGCAGCTGAACATCCAGAAAATAAAAAATTGTAACATAGAACCTTAAGGTCAACAATAAAGAAATTGAAATTGTGAACAATTTTACATATCTGGGCCAGTATTCAATTCAGACGGAGGCTGCAACCAAGAAATCCAAAAGAGATTGGTGCTTGGAAGGGTAACAGTGAAGGAAATAGAAGAGATCAAGCGTCAGGATGTTTCACAGGAAACCAAGGCCAAGATCAGCCATACTATTGTATCCCCACTACACTGGACCCCAGTCACTGGTTTGAAAGCTGAACAGTGAAGAGAGATGATGGCAAGAAAACAGATGCATTTGAAACATGATGCCAGAAGAGAGATTTGAACTGGCAGAAAGCAAGTGGATCCTGGATCAAATACAGCCAAAACTTTCCCTGGCAATAAAAAATGATGAAACTGAAATTGTAACTTCAGGTACATCATTAAACAGCTACACTGGAGACTTAAATGAGCATAAGTTGATAACCTTTCTAGATATCCTTCAACTTGTCAAGATTTGTTTAGAAGTTGGTATCAAGCTTTGTACTAGGTTGTATACAAAGGTTGTTTTCAGGTTGCAAAGAGGTTAGAATGTAAAATTATTCATAGGGTTAAAAAACTGCATCTCTAATTTTGGGTATACATTTTCATTTATTCCTGGATTTTCAGCCGAGTACCATTTCTTTAGATTTGGTTGACTGTTGAGTGTAGCATAACGGTACATTGAGCTTTGAAGAGGGAGAGATACTGTCTTTATCTCCGGTTCCATCTGTAGAAATAACCATGTGGTACTTGGTAATGGGGACATGCTCCAATCGTTTCCTTCACTCCAGTCCCAGTTGTTATCTGGTGAACTTGAGCTAAAGTGTGTTAATCCCAGGATCTGCAGATTTCAGTCGCATCTTCCCTCAGTCTTTTCAGAATGATGCAGCTACTACTTTGCCCCATGATGGTGAGAGGGAAGAGAGCTACAATGGTGTATACCTGGACGAAGGTGGCCCATAGGTCAATTAATTAAGTGCTGTGGGGGACAGTGTGTGTAGAGCTGTATTTCTTCAGCAAGTGCAGGTAACCTTTAAATATTTAGATCATGAGAACTGAGCAAAGAGAGGTGGATACATTTCAGGAAAATGTGTTGTAGAGAGCCTTTCTTGGACTGAGTATTTAGATGCTAATAATTTTTTCCAAGGCACTTCTTAACTTTTACTATGCTCCATTTTAAACTTGAACACATAGGGAAATACATTGTAACTGAAAACCCTCCGTTTATCTCTCTTGAATTAGGAAGCATTCAGAATTGTCTGAATTAAATGTTAAACTGATGGAAGCTTTGGAACTCTACAACAAATTAATGAATGAAGCTCCTATATATTCTACATACTCAAAGATGAATCCATCCCCACACTACCCACCAACATCCGCAGGCGTAGCGGTGCAGGTCAGTGCCTTTTTTTAATTTTTGAGGCTTTGTAGTAAGAGCTCACGTTTTGATAGGTACTGGCTTGTGAAGTAGAGCAGGATTTACCCCTAACTGTTTTCATTTGGCTCTCTGAACCCTGCTGTGTGACTTGTCAGGATATGCTTGAACAGAACAGCACTGATTTTCCATTAAATGCAGCTTTTGACCTATACCAGAGATATTTGTGACTAGCGGAGCACCCCCATTCTGGTGGAGGCGTGTTCCATGACGGGTATGCTGCCTGCCACTGGATACACCCCAAAGACTTTCATTAGTTTGGAGTGGTGTGGCCTAATATTTTTCAAGTTTTTTCCATACACACACCCTGCTTTACCCTCTTAAGACAGTTCCTTGAAACACAGAAAGCAGTTTCTGGGCATGCAGGTGACTACAGTGGGAAGAAAATGATGCAAAAATACTTGTTTTGCAAGTGAATTTTATGAGTATTGATTAAGTTCCAAGCCAGTAAATTTACAGGTGAAGCATCTTGCTTTATAGCTTTGCATATCATTAGGTAGAACAATATATTTCCTTTCTTAGCTTTCACGTATGATGAGTCTACATAAAAGTCTTAATGGGGTACCATGTAAAGACTTGAAAACTAGATATACTGAAGCAATCTGCATTGTTACCTTTTTTGTGTTGCCACTAAAGACCAGTATCAGTATTTGCATTTTGCATTGAGGTGATGATACCCTTAATTCTTGCATTAAGATCAAAATACTTAGAAGAATACAAATAACAATATCCAATAAAGCCTTGATTTTCCCCTCTCTTGTTCCTTTAAGCAACAAGTTCTTTCTACATTGAATTAAATAACTTCAGCATCTAGGAAGTGAAATCACTCTAAACCTAAATACTCGTGTTAGTTTACTTAAGCAAAAACAAAGGGAGGGGTTAGGAGAATTTAAAGGCAATAATTAAGTGGGGTTTTTTAAAAGGAAAGTGTGGCTGCACATATTGGGTGGGCTTTACATAATCAGTGTGAAAAGAAGAGTTACTATGGTAACTGCCACATCAAAGATGATGCATTTAGCTATTATGCCTTTCCATGAATGCCTGAAAATGTTGAGAGAGTGATTATATTTGGGGGTGTAAAAGAAATTATGAGAATTAGACATCTCAAGTTCTAATATTCCTCTCACTTCAAGATAAGGCTGATTCCTGCTGAAGATTAAAAAACAGTAGGTAGTAACTATAGTAGAAGGAGTAACTGCTTCTGCTTTATATAGTTGAATCTCAAGAAAAATCCACTTTCAGCAAGAAGTGTTGTTCAAAATATTTCTTTTTTGAAATTTTAAATTTAGGGAGCAATCCTGAGGCTCCTAGAGAGCATCTAAGGGGCCCTATTTCAGCTTCCCCACTCTTAGGTCAGGAGACACTGCTTCTGCCTTGGATCTGGGAAATGGAAGTTTGACCTTCTTCCACTCACAGACTTCATGTAAAGAACCACACTGGCTGCTTTTCCAAGGCAGAGAAGGCTACTCCAGAGACAGAGTAAAAGGAAGTCCCATGGGAAAGAAGGAAACTGGGGAGGCCAGGATGTGGGGTATCCTGAGCCGCTGTCATCTTCCTTCCCTCTCCCTACAAAACACCTGCACTAAAAAGCCCGTCTAGTGAAAATGCAGAGTGGTAGGACAGGGACGCAAAGGTTGCCTGCACTGCTCTTCCTGTCCAGCATGGGATGCTCATCAGCTCCCAGGTGTGAGGTCTTAAAAGCTCCAAGTGTTCAACCCAGAGGACTGCACCCTTCATAGAAAAATGTAGGCTCCACATTTAAAGTGCTTGCTGATTCATTAGTCCAGTTAACTCAAGCAAGCCTGCTTTATTTTTTCAAATACTACTTTCATGGTACTATTCAAGATCTTTCAGAATATAAAACACTTGAGGAAGGAAACAGTGGGCTACAATGATCAAATGTAAATATTATTGCTAGAATATAAGGTAGTGTATGAATTTTCTACCCTCCTCTTCCCTCCCATACTTGTAAATTTTATTAGCTAAATCAGTACATGGAAGACTTTCTTTCAAAAAAGGCAGAATACTCTCAAATTTAAGCCACAGGATTGATATTTTAGGGAGCTGGGTGCTACAGGACTGCTAAGTTGCACTAAGTTCCAATGTGGAATGCTGACATTCAGAATTGCATCCATGCCTAAGTCCTTGGCTTAGATTAAGCCTTTGGTTGGCTTAACTGGTACTGCTTTTGGCTTGATAATAGTATAATATGACTGTGGCACAGTATGACCTTGTTGCTGCTATGTCATAAAATTCAATCTACCTACACTTTAATTTAACTCTTAGAAACGTCTCCTTCCTTCCTAAGTGTGTGGTGGGAGGCCGTGAAAGGACAATCTTGATAAAGTTGAACACTGGGCTGAAAGCAACAGAATGAGATTCAATAAGGACAAGTGCCAAGTCCTCCACCTAGGAAAAAGAAAAAGATCTCAGAGGAATTGTGGACAATAAACTAAATATGAGCCAACAATGTGATGCAGCTGCCAAAAGGGCAGATGCTATTTTGAGATGCATTAACAGAAGTATTACTTCCAAATCACAAGTGTTAGTATTTTCCCTATCCTCCTCACTAGTCAGACTTCATCTGGAATACTGTGTCCAATTCTGGGCACCAAGATTTAAGAAAGATGCAGGTAAATTAGAAAGGGTCCAGAGGACGGCAACAAAAATGATCCAGCATTTGGAAACACTGCCCTATGAGGAGAAACTGAGAGAACCAAGCATGTTCAGCCTTGAGAAGAGAAGACTGAGAGGGGACATGGTGTCCCTCTATAAGTGCCTCAAAGGCTGTCACAAAGAGGAAGGTCAAGATCTCTGCTTGCTGATATTAGAGTGCAGGACACGGAATAATCAATTCAAGCTGCAACAGCCCAGATTCAGACTAGATATCAGGAAAACGTCCACACTGTAAGAGCAATAAGACAGTGGTACCAGCTGCCTAGAGAGGTGGTGGGCTCTCCCACACTAGAGATATTCAGAAAGAAACTGGATAGCCATCTAAGTGGGATGGTGTAAATTGGTGTCCTGCAACAGCAGTGGGGAGGACCCAATGGCCCTCATGACCCTTTCCAACTCTACTATTCTATGCTTCTTATGAAATGTTCCCCTCACTGTTTAACATGCTATTCTTGGGTGTTGTTTAAAAAAAGTATTCTGAACCTTCCTGTGAACCTATCTGATCTGCTTCATGTGGCCTATCTTCTGAGGTAGACAAATGAATGTATTTATGCTGACATTTATAAAGACAATGAGCACGACTTCCCTTTAAAAGCATAGAAATTAGTAGTGCCACCTTCTAATATAAGATTCTGCATTGCTTGGTTTACATGGCTTCCTTCCTATCCTTATTATCCTTACAGTAAAGTTAAGTTAGGCTGAAAAATAAAGACCTGGCCTAATCTCACTTGGGGCTGATGAACTTGGGGTGGACTTGGTGAAACAGTGAAAATTTGGACCTATTCCTCCCTGGTCCTAGCGCAACAGAAACTTAGAAGTAGCTGAATAAACTATGATCTGATGTATGGTCTGGCCTTAGGTACTGTTGTACCACGAAATATCTGCCTTCCCTCCCTTCCAGAATATAACGACGTGCTTTAAAGTTCTTCAGTGCAGATGTGGGCAACTTTCATGGCCATGGTCTGATTCCACCCCTCTGAAGGACCCCCAGGCCACACAAACAGAGAACTGCTAAAGCAGCTTATTAAGAAAAATGAAATTGCCCTAAATAGCATTCTGCATTATTGGCAAACCATTTTTTTCTTCGCATATTTTTGGGGCCACGTGTCGTCAGCCTCTGCTATAGCACAATGGTTTTTCTACATACATAACTAGGAATATTAGAACATTTGTCTGTATTACACTCTCTTGGTGAGTAGCCATGCATTTCATGTTGGCAAGTCTGTTTTTGTTCTGTTACAGCCTTATCCCATGCGTCCTCAAAGTGGGAATTACGTGGTTCATGGCGTTTCTCAAGGCTACAGTCCAGGGGGTGATCAGATTGGTCCACTGAGGCCTTTGCCCCATACTATAAATTCTTCAGCAACACCTCAGCCAACTCAGACAAGTTATTTAAGGTACTTCTTCTCAGCAAGGTAAGAGCAGAAATTCTTAATTCCTTTCAAGGCTGGCATTATTTTGTATGTTTAACAGCTTTGTTTCTGTTTCAGCACTGGTTTAGAGTCTGTGTCCAGTCCTGCTTATGTAAACCAGAATTCCTGCCTCCCACCTGCTGGAGCAGTTCCTTACACCCAACAAGTGGGCTTGCCTGTGGATATGCTAGCTTACCAGAACAGTGCTTCTAGCTTGCCTCAAGCAGCATGCTATCCAGCAGTTCCAGCTCATTCACTTCCACAACAGCAAACGAATTACCATCAGCAGCCTCTGCTGTGAAAATGCAGAGTCCGTTCGCAAAAACAATCCTGGATATTGCTGACCCTTGTGATATAATGGCTCCTCCATTGATTTGAGAGGATATTCCTGCGCAAGGGGAAAGGCAAGCAATTTCAGAGTAAACGTTAATTCAAGTTTAACTGTTTTTCTGCATAGTTGTTTAAATAAGGTGAACTGCTAGTATGCGTGCGTGTTTTTAAAGCCTTAAAAACTTGGCTTATGTAGTGTTCTTTCTCCTCCCTATTTACCATGAAGTCTGTCTGAAGTAACTTTTCCTTGTAACAAGTTGCAAATGAAGTTTTGAAAACAAGTTTATATATACCTTACTTCTTGTTTGTTCTTTCGAACTTTATTAATACCATTATTTTTATGGAACTTTTGAATTTGAAATGCTATATTGAAACATCATCTATTCAGCTAATTTGCTTTTTGGTTTGCACACTTGCTAGATCATCTTGATAGATTTCATTTTATGATTATACAATAAAGCAGTTGTGAACTTAGGAGAAAACAGAAGAGGTTAATGGCTATTATGGTTTCTGCCCAACTGGATTTCTTATTTACATTTCTCAGAAAATAGTGTCATTTATTACTGTGCAGTAGATCTTATTCCCTCTCAAGGAAGAGAGGATCTGAGGAGTGCATTTTTTAGTATATAAGTTAATTTCCAAGCACAAGCTACCCTCATGGAACGAGAAGAACTTGCTCTATTTTTTCTCTTTGTTTTCATTATCTGATGCTGCTAAATACCTAGTCACGTGAAAGAGAAACCTTTTAATATTAAAAATGCTTATTCTATAATTTATTCACAGCAGAGGTGCATGAACAAATTTATTTTGCCTTAACTACTAAATATACATTATTCAGGGTAAAAGTAACTACCATGACAATGGGTGGGTGGTTCGAGGGGTCAGCAGTACTTTCTCTTCTGATGGCAAAAGAAAAGATGCTCATTAATTCCTCATTGCCTGCTTGCTTTTCCAAGTATTTAACATAATCATCTGCACAGATGTGTATGTAACTTAAATATGGCTAATTGATATATTACTTATGAGGGTAAGTTGAATAGATGAAGGAACAAATTGAGATAAGCAAATGATTATGACTTAGATTCATGAAAAACTGAAGATGTTTATAGATGGTCCCCAGAGGTTTTCTGCAGAGTATGTTCTACAAATACAAGTTTCTTTGTAGTTAGATCCATATTTGTCCAAATCAGATCTGAGTGTTGTGAAGTGGCCACTTTCTCTTCCTATACTGGTTCTAACCAGGCTGTATCATGGCAGTAGTCATATGCAATTTCATTTTGGACCAATAAGTCTTGTGTATGTGGTTGGAGGCTATCACCAGAAAAAACTCACTTGCTGTCCATTTCTTCATGCCAGTTAATATATGCTTAGATTTTTTTTCTTGACTACTTTTAATTTCTTTTTTACCCAGTAATATCAAAAATAACAAAATGGGACATTTATAGGTAATTTCTTTTCTCTTTCCAAAATAAAGTATTTCAAAGGGCGCTCTTTAGAATCCTTATTTAAAGCAAGGTTAATTATTTCTCACTCAACTTAATTTTTTTATAAATAAAATTGAGGTTTTGAAGGCTACAGTTCTTTCATATTTATCATTGCATTAGGTAATCAGTTTTTATTGATTCACAATATTTGATACTACATTAAATGGTGCCCAATATCTGACTGTGATGTTGAGTTGAAGCAACCTTTTTCATTGTTCTTTGTTCTTTATATATAATATATATAAATAATATGTATATATCCACTTGTCTGAGATTTTATACACAACTACATATATACTCACTGTCTAAAAAGAAATCCTAGAAATTTTATATTTGCATTTGGCATTATTGCTAACTGCTATAATCTTACAACACATTTATGCAGATTGTAAATATGTACAAATTCTGATGTTAAAATTGTGTATTTAGTGTTTTGGTGTCAATGGGGATGATCTTCCTTCCCTTTTCTAGACTAAAATATTATTTATTGCTAAGGTACGATCATAATTATGCTGTTAAAGGAACTGACAACAGATTTCCATAGTTAGGGCTCAAACTCCATTGATATCAGTGAATGTTTAGCAGTTATCAGTGGAATTGAGAATGTATCGTAGGAGTATGCCTATTTTTACATTAAAAACAAACAGCACATGCTTTGCTTTCATATAAGTTAACGAAGTAAACAGAAATTTCTCACCATTTTGTAATGAGAGTTGTGTTGTGCTTTTGCCACCCATGGATGTTAAAACGAGATATAAGCTAACTTTGGGGGCCATTTTTCTTTCCTTCCATTAAAAATGTATGCTCCCCATTTGAATGATGCCCAGTATCATTATTTGTTAAACCTGAATCAACTTTTTAAAGAGGTTAATCCTTAAAAGAATGTTTAGTGCTCAAAGATGTCAGTGTCTGTTACATGCATTAGAAAATCGCAATGCCCCCAAAATAGTAAAATGGCTAGATTTTTAAACAGACATCATTTTTGTCTGTTGGCTTAGATTTCATTTGCAGATGTTTCCACTATCTGTAAGCTTGTAGAAGAATCTGATGGAAGACTAGCTATGTCAGTTATTGCTGTTTTATTTTTACCTGAGTCTCTTTCTCTTATCTGTGTATCCACATGCTATTCTCCCACAGAATGAAAACTCCTTAATTCCCCTTTTTCCTCTGCATACATCCCAGATCTGCTCCAGAGGATGGGGTGACTCTTGGGCAGATTTGGGAAGGGCATGCAAGTAAGCCCTGTTGTGTGAGCAGCCTTCTGCTCGCTTAATCTTAGACGTAGTTCATTTATTGAGAAATACATCACCATGTTACACCTAAGCTGGTTTTGTTGCAATAATCTTCATATATAAAAGGGTTGACTCTCTTTTCTCCTGGAATATTAAGTCTTGGAAACACATGGAAACATTCTGTATGACACTAAATTAAATCCTGTTGATTTTTGACCTCATTTCTAAAAGGAAAAAGGGGTGTTACAGAATGCTTGAATCTGCCTTCTAACAACTTGTCATGTGCAGGAAGTTCTCTTTGTGGCTGCTTGTCCAAGTTTAGACTAAGAGATTTTTTTCACACAACAAAATGCATTTTGAGCCTTTTGATTCAATACTTTCTTCACGCAATCTCCAGTATTAAGTTTTGAATCAGATTATATGAAATATCCATCCAGCCCCTTGTCTACAAGATAGTTGCGCTGACTTGTGCAAATAAAGCTTTTTTAACAGACGTATTTAGAGTCTTTATTTTTTAATGTGTTGAGCCATTGGAATGTGAGCCTGGAGAACAATTTTGGTGGGCTTCTTTCATCAGTAGGCCCCACTGGGCTTACTACTCTGGGCAACAGCGGGAGTGCTCTCTGACTGCTGCCTACCACTTGGGTCCAGTTACTGTTTTAATTTGCACACTGTCTTGGAGTTATGCTACACTGGAGGCTTTTTGTGAGAAACTGAGAATGGGATGGGTTGTTTGAGGTGGTATCCAGAATAGGAATCGGGCTGGCCCCACTTGCACATGAAGACTCTGGCATCTGTCTGCACAGGAACATCTGGTGGATAGATTCCATCCAGCGCTTGATTCTGTTTCTCTGTATCCACAGACTTGGGATTCTTCAGCCACCAGGACTAGAACATTGACTTCCATTTCTGTTAAAAGCCGAACCAAATGGCTTATTAGCATGTTGAATTTCCCATGCAATATCAGTTTGTGCTTGAACCAAATGAAATCCCATGAGTGGAGGAAGGCTTACAAGGCAGATTTTTCCTGTGGCAACTTTTTCCATCTTCAAAAAAAAAATCTTGGAGTAGGTGAAGTGTGCTGGATAACATTTTATATTGTTAATTTGTTTTATATTTTGAATGTATTTTAATTTATGTTGTGAGCCGCCCCAAGGCTTTGGCGAATGGGGCGGCATAGAAATGTTTTAAATAAACAAACAAACATGGAATCTGGCATGTGGAACTCTAACAAGAGCAAAGACTAGCAAAAATTGGGAAGACCCCTGCTATGTGAGTAGACCTGTATTCTATTCATCGAAAGGGCTAACTGGAAGCCACTGCTGTATTGCAGGAGAGCCTAATTCAGCCAAAAGCATAAGCTAGCAGCAGCAGCAGCTTTCCTCTACACAAGTATTCTGAGCTGGGCAAGGAGTTGCACGGGCAAACTGCTGCCATCAGAATAGTTCCTAATTGGATTCAGTGCATGCAGGCCTAGCCTAATTATTGGCAGTTGTATAGATCCATTTGAGAAGAAAACTAGGTTTAGTTCTTTTTCCCCAGGCAGTCCCTGAGTTATGAACAACCCTTACTTATGAACTGCCATAAAGGCTATTAATCTTTAAATTTTAATGTGGAAAATCAAAAATCACTAGAAAAGGAAGCAAACAGGGAGAGAGGGAAGCCTCCAAAGCAATCCTTCCAGCCCACACATCCAGAGAGGGAAATTTCTCTGGCACTGCCTTGTGGGGAGGAGGTGTGAGGAATTGGGGGGGGGGGGTAAAGAGATTCATGTTTCTTCCACTTTCACAGGGATCCTGCACCCCTAACCCATGTGAATGGGGAGGACCAACCATACATGATCCAACTTTCATACAAATTCAACTTAAAGATGAATTTTCATTTTTCAGCAACAGGACTTTCCTAACCCAGAATCTGCCTATACACACACAGCAAGCCAGTTTGGGATAATAGGCAGTGCTATATTTATAAAGTGTGCTGTTTATGTTGTGACTTTCTTAAATGCTTTGCCCTTGAGCCACTTGGATAAACACAGTTGGAATGGCATTGCACCATAATGGTGTTATGGAGATAGACCCTACTAGCTATGAACTCATACGGCTGGTCTTAGGATGGAAGGGAGAAACATAAGGAATGGAAGGAAGAGAAAAGTTCATTGTTAACTACCATTAAGCCTGAAGATTACTCATAGTGCATAATTCAAGCTAAGGACATTTTATGACCCAGTTAAGAGTGGGAAATAAAAGGATTATGTAACTTGCCATCCTTATAAGGGTGGGAAGCAAAATGTTCCTATGAGTCACTGTTCCTCTAAAATTCACAGGAACCTATACTGTCAGTTCCTTATTTGCATTGACTGAATCCCTTGAATCTCATGAGGGTTTATACACACAGGGATGCCATAGGTTCAAGATTAAGTTTTGTGGGGGTGGAACTCCAATGTGTGGGGTGAGCTGATGGCATTTGTTTGCACAGATTTGCTACATCATTACCCTGGGAAAGTGGTATCTTGTTAGCAGTGAGTTCCAATAAAGTAGCTTCACTCATCTGGCATTGTTCCAAAATAAGTGCAGAAAGGAGAATAAATTTTTTGACGTGTGTAAAGTTGATTTGACATCAGTGGAGGAAACTAGTATATAAAGGACAATATCTCAGGTATTATTGCATACTCTATGGTTTTAAATAATAGTTGAGCAAATTGCCAAAAAAAATGTGTCTTCTGAAAAATGCAAGTTCATTTTCTTTCAAACAGGCTTTCTGCATCTTCTAAATAAAACAAGTATTCTTTATAAAATGTTTAGGGAAGATGAGGTGACTTTTGGGTTTTGTTCTTTTTTGCAGCTTTTATTTTTTAACTAGAAAGTGACTTCTATCTAGTCTGTTCTATCATTTATCTGGCCAATGGTTGCAGAAGGCGTAATTCCAAAGGAAAGGAAAGGAAAGGAAAGGAAAAAGGAAAGGTTGTTACAAGTTAACAGCATATAGTCTCCCACTTACTTGAACACTTGTGGCAAAGCTCTTTAGAACAAAGCTACAACTGCCAATATATAGTAATTTCTGCCTGCACTTTTCTAATTAGCCTCTGCTAGCCATTCTTTTTATTCTTTTGAGCTTTGTTGCACTCCCTATGTAGACTTGTTAAATTATACTTTGCTGTTAATGTTACAGGGTGGTGTGCCTATGACAAAATGCTTGCATGAGGCAAACTAAATTTCAACTATAGCTTTGACTTGTCTGACACCAAAAGTGAGTGCAGAACTGCAATAAACAGAACTCTGCTGTAAGTGCTTTGGGGCTAAATTGCATCTCAACCTGTTTAAGATTAAGCTGTGTCCAGGTGTCATAAGAATGTTGCAAAGCCATCATAATCCTCAACAGAAGGCTACAGCTTTCAGAGAATAAGGTGGACAGAATTCTTCTCCAGTTTTGTGTAATCTCAAGATTACTAATCTGAATCATATCCAGTGTTATGTGAGTGGACTTCCATTCACACAGCCCAACTTTAGCTTCCATCCTTCCCAGTCAGAGCTACAGAGTCCTCCAGTTCCTCAAAGCAGATTTTTTTTTCTCCTAGCAGGTAGAAGGACAAATTTTTCATTGGTAGTTGAACACAACTGAATACCACCCCATCTATCTTCTCCCATTATAAAATCTAGTGTGGGGTGTGGACATTTTAAAGACTAGGGCCATAATAGTGGTTTCCTTTATGACGATTGTTAATGATTGAAATGTGACCTATTGTTATGTATATACTACGCTACACCCAAAGCTCTCTGAGTGGTTTACAGTTGCACTGGCAATTTATTTTCTTAAGAGAATTGCTAACCTACTTCTCAGGGTACATTTTCTTCATAATTTGCTTTAAGAAAATATTTAAAGGGCATAAAAATATCATTGGCACACCAATAAACAGCAGATTGCAATTTCAGAAGTTGCAGCAACTAAACAATTTTTCACAGCACATGGGTACATGGGATGGAATAAAATTGTCTTTAGAGTTCTCTTCAAAATCAGTTGTGGAGATGATGGAAATACCATCCAAGGGAGGGTGTTTGCATTCTGTAGGTATGGATGGGGCCACTGCTGAATGGACCCTGTTCCTGATACCCACTAATCTAATACCACTTATTTAGAGCATGCTACCTAATAATTTAACCAAGAAGTCTTCATGAGCACCCTGGTTAACAAAGCGATGTATCCTTCCTCAAGCTTGAAATTTAAATCAATGACATGACATAAATAAGGGGAAGGGAAGATGTATATAATGAACAATGGCTTTCAAAGTTTATTTGAAGATATGCTGATGGGAACAGTTTACTTCCTTTCCTGCGCTTAGTGCAGTTTGCTGAAATGGCCTCTGTGAAGGCCATCCTGACTTGGTGAGACGAGAACAGGTGGGGCAAAGAGACGCTGCAGGGGTTCAGATGATGATCTTAATAGGTGGGCAGGGTCCTATGGGTGCAGATGGTCCTTCAGAGAACCTGGTCCAAAGCAGTTTAGGGTTTTCAAAGCATCAAACCAGTATCTCACAGGCATAGTCCTGTGTATGTTTAGACAGAAAGAAGGCCATGCTGGCTTGGCCATGCTGTGAGTTTTGAGCCTCCTTCCTGTCTGAGATGCATAGGACAGTGACCTCAATTGAGCATGAAAACAAATGACTCCTACGGGCAGCCTCGATGCTGTATGCTGCCTTCCTTGCCATTTCTGACCTGTCTGCTAGGGCAGCCCTTATGCGTTCATTGAAAGTATCACGGTCCCTAAGATTATGGAAAGAATTGTTACCATGACAACCTGAATAATATAAGTGGGAATTGCAACAAAATGTTCCAGTGTTGAAAGCTTTTGTTCAAGGTGGCAGCCAACCAGCCCTAGCCCTTTCCAGGATATGATGCTCCATCACCCTCCACTTTACTGGCCTGCAGCCCAAGTGTCTTCAGCGCATGCTCAGTCCATGTTAGGCTGTATTTTTCCCGTGTTTGGCAATTTTAAAACTGTCTTGCACACCACAGCATGGGAGGCATGGCAAAGAACAAATAGCCTGCCCAGAAGAACTGAACAAGGCCAAGGTGATGTCTGAGCCCAAATACACTGAACAGCTCCTTTAAATCCATGGTTTTCAGCATGGCTTTCAGACACATATTTCGTAGCAATCCAAAACTGCTGGTAAGGAAATACGTTAAAATGTGGGAGGAATAATGGCAGGCACCAAGAAAGGGTGCCTTCTGCTGGTGTACAAGATGGCAACCTGAATGGCACACAAGTTGAACACAGCTTGAATACCGGCTTATAAGCCCAGAGACAACCTGCACAGAATGTACGAAGATGGATTCAGATGTGCTAGGTTGTGGAATATGTATCTTTATGGAGGCATTTCCACATCCTCTGCATTGCATTTAATGGACAGTTCCCTGTGTGCTGGTCCCTATTAAAGATATTAAAAACCCTTTGACTTGCTGACTGTGTTCACAGGGCCTCCCAGTAGCCTTTTCAGTA